CACACGTGACTGATTAAACACACTAGTTTTTATTACGACCAAAACAATAATTTTAAAATACAGAACTACAAATAATTTACAAGTGAAAACAATAAACCGTTTCAATGGACTTTTAAAATTAACCGCATTGAAATCTAACGTTTTCTGATTCTCATTAAGAATGACCATTTACAAAATAAACGTTCACTAAATGTTAAGTTCCTTTTTCGGAAAATTTATTACTACTTTCATATACTGTCAAAGTCGGTTCATTAAATGATGGTCTACGGTTGCTTCACCTGAATTATACATATTGCAATCAGTAATTTATCATGATGAATTATTGATATGTTAATTTGTTTATCCGATTAACAGACCATGTATTACTAAAAAACTTATGTACACACTTCGGTAATAATTTATTTAATAATTGGGTATTGAGCATTAGACAACCGAACGAATTCAGTAATAACTTTTATTAAATATTCAAACCAGTTTTCAGTTGCTTTTTTTTCCAAAAACTTTCTTTTCATGTGATACATATAATTATTCGTGTTAAGATAACTAACCACTTCAATTCAAGGTATACTTGATCGTAAAACAAAAATTTATCTCACTAACAGTAGGATTGCACGGTAATGCAATTAAGTTGGTGTCTTTTTCTTCAAAAGTCTAAATTTTTTTCAAGACTAAGATTACACACAAAAAAATATTATCATTAAATTTGGAAAACATTTAGTGCACGGCCATTTTTGTATTTTTTTTCGAGTGCAATTTTTTCTCGTCCCTTTTGAAAAAAATTTTCATCCCCATCTTCCAATAATTTTCATTCTGTTTCGTCCAATCAAATAACTAGTTCTGAGTTCGTTATAATTGGTCATTTATTTCTCTAAATCGATATAAAATATGAGGACTTGACGACAGAGCACATTTTCTTACACTTATGGACCGTAGTAGCATGCGGAGTATAGTCTCCGTCGTTCATCACGTTGTCACAGAAACCGATAACCTATTCTTGAGCACATTGTGTCTCGTAGCGTTCCAATCTCTTGAAGCGTTGAAGAGCGCCATTAGAACGTATGAAAGAGCCACGTACTGCCATTATGTGGTGAGGGATTCTCATTTCCATAGAGATCGCAAGCCGTATATTATATTCGTATGTTGGAGAAATGGCCGTAGAACACCTAGCGGTTCCTCACAGCCGAGTAGACGAACGAGGTAATTTGATTAGTATTATTATAATTTTTCATTAAGGACTACCGTGAACACTCAATGTCTTTCCTTCATATTTTGTAAGTTATCAACTATCAAAATAACCTCAATATGGATGCAACGTTAAGGAATGACGAGGGGGAAATCGGTTTGATGAACTCAGAGGAGTTCACTGAACGAAATGACGACAATGACGGAAGCGCATATGACAACAGACTTTGTGATATTTGCAATCTTGTGCAACCGCCACATGAAACTGCTGATGGAATTGCCTGGATTTTTTGTCCATGCGAAGCAATGCTTCATTTATTTTGTGCCTACGACCCATCACCAAACGTCCATGGAATCCACTGTCCCATGTGCGGCGCTATAACGGAGTCATAGCAGCGTTTTTGTTCATGAAATTCGGAACTGTTAAGAGAACGAGTAAAGGCCCTTTTCAGGGCCACCCACAATTTGATTTAAATTCTTTTGTTTCAATTTTTTATTTCCATACCAAAGGTTAAGTGATGAAACCATCAATATTCATTTAAGATTAATAGTCATTATGTGATTATCGTCGACGTATTCGTAAACGCTTTTTAAGCTTTATCAAATATACGGTTTAAGTAAACGATTTCGTATAGGAAATGTCATCTAATGAACATTCATCTGTCTAAGAATAGTACATGCAAAACTGGTTCAGAATGTTTCAGTGTTTTTTCATATAGTTACGATAGGCGAATGTAGTACTACCAGTTCACTAGTACAACGACATCATTTCTATAGGAAAGGTCAACTGAACCAACAATGATGAATTCTATTTAACAAAGTGATACATTTATACGTTTTATAAAATGTCTTTATTATAAGTGAATTGAAGATAGAGCACCATGTTTCAATATAGTGAAATTGGTAATTTTGAAGTTTGGTAAATAAATATAGACTTTTATTTATTACAATTACATTAAACGAGCGTATACCCAAATGTCATCTGATACAAATCACTTAGTTCGTATTAAGCTGTGTAATTGAGAGAGACACTTATTTCCTCAGACGTAGGATTGTTCTTTTATACTTAATGTAACTAATATTTCAAATACCTGTCAAAAATTGTTATTCAACAATATAGAATATTCTATGTAGATTTTTCAACTGTAAATATGCTGTTGACATTACGTGCGAAAATTGTTAAGCCCAATTGACGAGCACAATAATCTATTCATCACATGACTACTTACATTGACAAGTATTTTTGGTCATAATTTTAAACTGCTCAACTGCAAAGAATGTACAGGTAAAAACAAGTAACGCTTTTAATTGATTAGTAAAATAACACAATGGACAATCTTGCACTTATTTATGACAACATTTTTCCGGCGAACCTAGACAATTCTTTTATACTAAGAGTCACTGTTTGGAAAAATACCCAATGACAAATATTGTTTGCTATTTTCAGAGAGAAGTTATTACTATTTTGCTTCATTCACCGATCATTAACGGTTAGCGTGATTTATGCATGCCCTATTCATTATTTTATTATGATGATTTATGGATATGTGGCTACGCATATAACGTTTAATAAAATAACATACGATGTGTTAAGAAAAAACTAATGGGAATACTTCGATGAATGATTTCTTTACTAATTGTATATTAACAATTTGACCACTTTTCAACGTCAGTTATTACTATCATCAAGTATTAAAACCAGTTATAAATTTTTTTCAAAAATCCTCTTTAAATGATCTAATCCACGAAATTTCTATAAATCTCAATTGATTATATTGCTCAATCACTAAGGCTTAATTAGAATTCATCATTGTTGGTTCAGTTGACCTTTCCTATAGAAATGATGTCGTTGTACTAGTGAACTGGTAGTACTACATTCGCCTATCGTAACTATATGAAAAAACACTGAAACATTCTGAACCAGTTTTGCATGTACTATTCTTAGACAGATGAATGTTCATTAGATGACATTTCCTATACGAAATCGTTTACTTAAACCGTATATTTGATAAAGCTTAAAAAGCGTTTACGAATACGTCGACGATAATCACATAATGACTATTAATCTTAAATGAATATTGATGGTTTCATCACTTAACCTTTGGTATGGAAATAAAAAATTGAAACAAAAGAATTTAAATCAAATTGTGGGTGGCCCTGAAAAGGGCCTTTACTCGTTCTCTTAACAGTTCCGAATTTCATGAACAAAAACGCTGCTATGACTCCGTTATAGCGCCGCACATGGGACAGTGGATTCCATGGACGTTTGGTGATGGGTCGTAGGCACAAAATAAATGAAGCATTGCTTCGCATGGACAAAAAATCCAGGCAATTCCATCAGCAGTTTCATGTGGCGGTTGCACAAGATTGCAAATATCACAAAGTCTGTTGTCATATGCGCTTCCGTCATTGTCGTCATTTCGTTCAGTGAACTCCTCTGAGTTCATCAAACCGATTTCCCCCTCGTCATTCCTTAACGTTGCATCCATATTGAGGTTATTTTGATAGTTGATAACTTACAAAATATGAAGGAAAGACATTGAGTGTTCACGGTAGTCCTTAATGAAAAATTATAATAATACTAATCAAATTACCTCGTTCGTCTACTCGGCTGTGAGGAACCGCTAGGTGTTCTACGGCCATTTCTCCAACATACGAATATAATATACGGCTTGCGATCTCTATGGAAATGAGAATCCCTCACCACATAATGGCAGTACGTGGCTCTTTCATACGTTCTAATGGCGCTCTTCAACGCTTCAAGAGATTGGAACGCTACGAGACACAATGTGCTCAAGAATAGGTTATCGGTTTCTGTGACAACGTGATGAACGACGGAGACTATACTCCGCATGCTACTACGGTCCATAAGTGTAAGAAAATGTGCTCTGTCGTCAAGTCCTCATATTTTATATCGATTTAGAGAAATAAATGACCAATTATAACGAACTCAGAACTAGTTATTTGATTGGACGAAACAGAATGAAAATTATTGGAAGATGGGGATGAAAATTTTTTTCAAAAGGGACGAGAAAAAATTGCACTCGAAAAAAAATACAAAAATGGCCGTGCACTAAATGTTTTACCTAATCCACGGTCGATAAATTTTTCATTCACACCCTACAATTTTTTAGAAATGGGTGGTAGGGAATCTTAATTGCCGTGGGCTTAATGTCAACCCTCTTGGATCATATTCATTTAAGAATTCATATAATTATCATTACGTAAACGATCTTATCATTATTAAATTCCATTAAGCTCTAAAATTATCACATAATTTAGCAGTTACTTCCTTTTGATCTCCGACCTCGTAGAATCACATTGTAGCACTTAACAATTATCATAAAATATTCGAAAATAAAAAATTTCTTTAACGAACAATAGTTTGAAAATAACTTCATCATCACACTAAACAGTTACAAGTCCGTACCAATGTTAACATTGGTACACATTTGCATCTGTTAAGACATGTATATATATATATATATATATATATGCTGACCATGTATTTGGATTCATTACATAATCAATATGTCACATGAACTTCTACATTCTGAAAAATCCAGTCAGTACACAAGATGGTCAGTCGAATTGTTTCAAACACTTTGATTACTTAGATACATAACTTAAATGATTATAAACATTATATACAAGACCATAATGCACCACAATACATAAATTTCACTATTTGCATAACTGGTGTATTTTTGATGCAAAGTTGAGTAACTGACGCACAAATAATTGACTGTAATTTATGAACGGCGAGGAATGTACGTTACAATTTTAAAATCAAATAACAATTCCATAAAAAGACTGTCTAGTAATCAGTCATGACTCTATTTTTCGATTTTCTTTTTAATAGATATATCTGTTAGAAGTAAGGTTCAGTTGTTAGATTTAAAATGTTTTATGATTTTTCATAATAAAGAGATACTATCAGTGCATTTAGGACTATACTTCTCAAAAACAGTTTACGTCTTGGTTAGAGAATGTTATCTAAAGACTATCAAATTGTGGCTATACATATTTTTATGATTGATTCACGGATTAAGCTACAGTATTGTTTACTGATTATTTCTGTTTTCCAAGCAATCAATGTGAAGTAAGAAAAACTGTCTCTATGTTCGGTATAAGAATTGCTTTTTGATTAAGTAATTTCAGTCACCAACATGAAATTTAATAAAAATAATATCTGCAAACACGAATGTGATTTTAAAGTAGAAAACATCTCAGGGGAAATGTTAGTTGATTGCTAACTACTACTTCTAGGTGCAAATCGATTGATATATTCTCACCACCATTCATTGTGTCTCTTAGGTGCTAAAAACCTTTAAAATGCTATTCTTCGTCCTTGGTTTATATATCAATTTGTTGAAGATTACCACTTAAGACTACTTCAAAAATATTCACACGTATACTTGGATAGATGGTTTGTCTTTCAAAACATGACATTCATAACGTTGCATATTACTAATTTCTTCCTGGAAGACATAAGATCAATTTTACTTTATACATCGAGGTTTTCATTTAATCGTGAGTGAATGAATTTATTTGATTCTGATAAGTACTTTTTGCATCATAATTTGCCTGTATATTCTCAGTGATTTCACAGGAATCTCAGGCTCATAAATTTTTAGTTATGTTAGGTTATTCTTCATGCTTAATAAACTGAACCCCTCACAACTTTTCTTAGTTCCTAAAACTCAAACTTATTAAATGGGAACGGACCTAGGACGATAGAACATAATATAATGACGTTTTTAAACCTTCTGACTTCCGAGGTCTTCCAGGTATATCTTATGTAATGAAAACGAAGATTAGACAATTTTATTGGATAAGATCGGTACACGTCAAGCATTATGGAAATTCGTCCATGTTACCTCATTTTGTCTGTATATTGGATAGAATAATATGTTAAAGGATTACGCGAAACTCTGTAATGTCAGATTCATTGTTTAAAAAATCATATTTCAGTCAAATATTTGGTCCATTTTCTGTCATAATTCTTGATGCTATTTGAAAAAATCTATATGAATTCTCAAGTCCTATAGTCTCACTTAATTTTCTCAAATTAGATGCATATCAAACTGATGGACTACCAATAAAAGCAACAAAATGTGATCAACTATTTTTCAGTTCATCCTATATCACAATTCAAGATGATCATAACCAACAGATATCGCCTAAAAGCAATAGTTTAAATCAACGTCATAAGGGCAGTAATGAAGAATTATTTTCTTCACGCACAAAAACAAACGGGAAATTTTTCAGTCCAAATTATCCACAGTTTTATAAAGCATCGATGTTGTGTAAATATTATTTTTTAGCTCATTATAATGAACGTATTGTAATCAAATTAAATCATGTGCAATTATGGAGTTACAAAAGGTTAGTTTTGATGCTACACAACAACTCAGTATTTTTTTAATATTAAGATCAGAATCTGTTTGCTTCCAAATAGATCCAAGATGTAATTGTATAATGAATTTCTTATTAGTTTTGTTACTGACACATCGGCCTACAAGTTTCAATAATAATTCCTTTGCATTTTATTGGTATTGTTTGCTTGAATCTTCCCATTGATGTGTTAGGGCTGCAATAGATCAGTCTCTTGACACATATACATACTGTGTGTATTGCCATGATATTGACTTAATTCACAAGCATTCTAAGCAAAGATGGACAGTGGCTAGTAGTGGAATCCAGGACTCACGTTTCGTTCTATTTCATTCTTTGATTCAATGTCAATAGTTCACTCATATGGCTAGTTAGCTTAATAGAATTAATGGGCCTTTTGATCTGAGCCAGTATGATTGCAATTCTGATTACCTTAATTAATTTGTCTAGTATTTGAGTCGATTGAGTTTAACTAGTGTAACACTGTTCGTGAAAAAAAGGAAAATCAAAACTAGATAACACCATTGAAACATGTGATATATTAACACAATAAGTTTCGAACAATCTGATCACATATATTTTTTAAGAAACTTAATATATAAAAATAAAAGGTCAATTAGATAAATGAAAGGTGAGAGGAGATAAAGATTATAAAGGTAATATGAAAGACAAAATAGAAACTCATTACTCTAGATAATAAGCTAATATTACTAGCGTAGGTTTAAGGTGAGAACGAAATGCTTTTGATTAGGTGTCTGAACATCTACCTAAATAGTTGCGAAAACAAATAAAATCAAACGACCCAATAAGAGTAGATGATAAACATTCATCATCCTCTATTGCGATTTGTTCTCACCTTAAACCTACGCAAGTAATATTAGCTTATTATCCAGAGTGATGAGTTTCCGCATTGTCTTTCATACTATCTTTATAATCTTTATCTCCTCTTACCTTCCATTTATCTAATTGACCTTTTATTTTTATATATTAAGTTTCTTAAAAAATATATGTGTGATCAGATTGTTTGAAATGTACTGCGTTGATATATTATGCAGTTCTGACAATCTTCATCTTCTTATTACACTGACCAAGTTTATCGAAGGGAATGACTGCTTTAAACATTGAAATAGTTAATTATCCTCAGATCATCCCTTTTTATAAACTATAAACTTTTACGTAACTGACGGATTAATGAATCGTGATGAATGGATAACCTTAATTATAGACGAATCATCGCTTATCGTTACCAAAGATAATATCGTCCGTTATAAATAAAATTCAAAAATGAATATATATTGAAGTTTGCTGATGGTATCGAGAAAGACAATGTAAGCTTCATGATTAAACCATTCAGCTCAAAGAACAGCATTCTCAATAATATATATATATATATATATATATATATATATATATATATATAAAGTGCTATCACTGAGAAAGAATAAATTTTTTGGTGAAGGTTTTCTGAAATACTCAGTGTTACCTAAGCTCAATAACTAGGAATAGCTCATTTCTATCGGAACAAGTTTACAAAAATTTTTGCTTGACAAAATTCTCACGGTGGAGTTCTGTTTATTCCCATTAAACATGTAAGAACTGAATCGTTTAGTGTCATGAGTTTCTCTTCCCCATCGGATTTGCTTCTGATAACACAGTTTACTGTATTTGCCAAAACAATCGATAATCCATACAATGTTCCAATTCTTACCTTCAAATACCAATCAAACTTACGGGAAGAGTACACAAGTACCTACCACAAAAGAGCATTATTTAGAATTAAAAGTTCTTGTCAATTTAAATGCATAAGTTTTAAAACCATAATGTATTATAAATGATAGATGTAAATTTGTACATTACTGTGACATTTATGTTACGCGGCTGATTAGCAGGTGTATGAATAATTTTGAACGGTAAAAGACTATATAAACATATGATGTTATCAGGTCTTGATTTTGTAACTCATCCGACACTGTTAATTTTGTAGGTAAATGAAATTTACTAAATATTTTTTCATTAATGTTTTAACTTCAAGTTGATCTAAGATCATTTAAAAAACTTTCAATGCACTCTATTTAACCACAGATTAAACCAGGTGTTGAACGCATTAGAAAATCACAATTAAATCACCTCACAGTTAACGATTTAGAAGAAAGTTTGGAATTAAGGCTTTATTATAAGTAATGCAAACTGACTGTTTAATAAATATGCGGTGAAAATATATGTACCTGAATTTTCACCACACTGATCAAATCGAAACAGTTACATCACAGTTGCATTCGAATATTTAGAGGCGGAAAAATATACATGAGAATATATGTACTAACCAGTTGTTTTATAAATTTACTCAAATAATAAAACACAGAGTAAATTGAGAAGGCTAGTACTCAGGCAATCCTATATAGACAGTCCTGTAGAAACACAAATTGAGCCTAAATATTTGCTATAAAACCCAGATTGCTATTAGGTGTTTGAAATCAAACAGCAATAATCACAGACTGAGCTAGATTTCGTCTTAGTCTACATTCTTCAGAAAGATGCATTGGGGACATTAAAAGAAATGATACCCTCCATATAATCTTCATCTGCGTCATCAGGTGTCGTAATTAGAGACGCTGTCAATGAGCTATTCAGGCAATGACCAAACTCGTAATATGATATTCATCCATATTTTGATGCTGTTATTTGTGTTGTTTCGTAGTTTTATTCTGCTCAAAAATAAATTGAGTTCTCTCTCTTTATCCCCCTCTCCCTGTCTACAGTTGTCATTACACATCACAACGTGATACAATTCATTTTCATGAAATCACTACTTCATTATTTGATTTAAATTACTCTTCATTTTTTCAATTGGAAAAGATTATCCAAAACCCAATTGTTTATGAATTAAAAAAACAATTATTGTTCTTATGTGGTGATAAAGAACAAACCGTAATTATCTCAGATAATCGATTTATGATGCTGACTTTACAAACACATGTAGACAGTGTTGGAGCTCGTGGATTTGAAGGAGTCTATCAATTTTTAAGTAAAAAAACGTTATCTTACAATCAAGGTAATCATGATGATAAGGACATATATAAACATATCGATAAAGAACTATTTCGAGATCCAACTACTAAAGGATTCATGAATACTGAAAGTAAGTATTTCTACTGTTATAGTTCTAATTAAAAGCTGTACAAGGATTGAGAATTTTTATTTTTGTTATATCTAGAGCTTATATTCATGGTATGCCGCGTATAACTGGAACTCTAGAACCTTTCCGAGTCGTAAACGAGAAGACAGAAGACTAGTGAAAGGAATGTTATTTCAGACAGTGTCAAGTATAGTACAAAACTGTCATGTATTTATAGTTTTTAGTTAAAACGAAATCATCATTATAGCTATCCAATCTGCACACAGGGGGTTATTAGCATTGTCCAATCGGGAAGCTACACGAGGGGATTCTAAAATATTGTTCCAAACGATGATTGGATGGAATACCTTCGTCTCTTTCTGAGCTTCGTACAGCATCCTCGAGTTCACCCGTGAACCGTCATCACAATTTGAGAGTATAGTTTACATCACAAGCTGAATTTAATTGGAGAATCATTAGAAATTTTGGAGTTGTTGTTCCATGGTTCCGTAGAACAGTACTCCTCAGTTGTATCCAAAATTTCATAAAATATACAGGTCGAGGAATTATAGTTACTGGTTCCTTAAGCTATTTAAGCGTTTCTTTCAGATGTTTCTAGAATCTCAAAATCTCCTATGTTTCACCTTTGCTTCGTATATAATCCAACCTTTAAAGTACAGCTCCTTTTGTATTTCTTTGCATCCGTTTTCGGTTCGCAGTTCAATGATAGAAGATTTCAGAAGGTTAGAAGTTTAGTGCATAATGTATTTACAATACAAGACGTATACACTTCAAGAAATATATTCAGAAAACCTTATAAAATTATTTATCTAAATTATCGTGATATACATGGTTTCGAAAATATATGTAAATTCTTGAATGAAACTGGACTGCAATTCAGTGAAATATACTGATTTAGTAATAGTCAACACAATATCTATGATGCCTGAGAGCTCTGTGTTGATTTTTAATAAATTTGTTTCCTAAGCTATTGAGTCTCATATTAGTAAAGAATGGTTGTTCAATTATCCCTAGTACTCGATGACAAATCTCTATGATTCTCTGATCTTTATATTGCAGAGAGAATTGACTGACCTACACAAAGATAAAACAGATCAAAACGCAGAACGTATGATGGGAATTAAATCGATTATAGGTTATGTCATCATAGTTTTTATTAGAAAAAAACAAAACCCACACGTTTATCGTGAACTGATGAAATACTTACTCAGGGTTCTACAAATTATTGACTCGTTGATATAGTAAATTATATCTACAACTGTTTTTTAGACCGTGTTTATATCAAAAATACTGTTTTAGCATATTTAGTATTTGGCTCACAGCGGAATCAAGGATGTATATTTCGGGCCTTTTAGGGCTTATTATATGGGTAAACCAATATCCCAGTGCAGATATTGGTATTGGGACTTAAATACCTAGTACTTATCATTTCAAATCCCAGTCTAAATATACTATAACGTGTGGCGAAACGCTATACTCATTGTTTTCTCATATGATACACATGTGGCTGCAGATACTAATCAACCAATGTTCGAAATATCCTCAACCATAGATTACAAATTTATGCTACAAACCTGCAGGTTTTTTCGATGTGGCTTGAACCAAAACTTGACGTAAAATTTCCAAGCAAATAGTTTTAGAGAGAGATGTTATGAAATGAACATAATATACATACTCTTGAATACGAAGAAGAGTAAGCCTCAATCATCAAACTGCTTCACATATATATTGATTTAATTTGTCACTGTAATTATTCATTACTGCAGGCCCTTTATAGGTGGATGATCACGTGGAGTAACTATTAATATCGCGTATAAGTGATGAAATATAAATCCTCAGAATTATTTAAAGTATTCTTAATTAGCAAGAAAAATGAACTAAACCATGAACACATTTCAGTAGACTTTATTGGATAAGAAGAAAAGTGTGTGAATATGTACACAACATTTACTGAATAAAAGAAGCAACAAAGTATTGTGTTGATTTTACTAGTGTACAAATACTGCGGTAATCTTAGGTGGTAATACTTTTTTTATTTTTTACCTGAGCGAATTTAAATTTCAGCGGATTTCAGGTTTTGTATTAAGTAATATCTGAAGATCAATTCATTTAATCCACCGATCATTAACGTAGTGTAGTGTGATGCCTAATAAATCTTCATCACAATGTCTTATCACTGTTACCTACAGTGCTATATACAAATAATTAGATTATATTAAAGATTCCCATTGTGAAAATTAGAACAACACATATAAGCGAACAATTGTTTTCAATTAGATCGTCATCAGGCTTTACTCTAATATACATGAATATTTATACGAAAATTCTAAACCAATCAAGGCTATTTGAGTCAATAATCACAATGAAATCGAATAAGTCACTACACATAATAGGTAAAAGTACAAGTTGATAGTAGGAAGACAGGTGAACTGATAATAGTGAGAATAATAAAATACCATAACAAAACTCTTGTAAATAGTTAATCGTTGGAAATAGAAGGTCAAATAAACATGGGTAAATAGACTAGGAATAGTAATCACAAAACATTAAAATCATTACGTAATAAGATGTGTGTAAATAATTAGATAGTGAAGAATACAAAGAGGCGGAAAATTACAAACAGATAATGGATATGGAAATAAGGTTAATGATAACACAAATAAAATAAAATGAATAATGATAATAATAAAATTTAAAAAATTGGTTAGTTAAGTAATAACTGGCCGTGGAAGGTATAGGGGGGTTACGTATTTCTTCTGTACACATAAATTGGGGTTGTATGTGCGGATTCCAATGGCTTCAGCTATATGTAGGAGGCGAGAACGAACTCCGTCGGGAAATGATAGAGGTATACGATAGATAACACGAAATGATTTCGATTTATCTACAAGATGACCGCTATCAATGAGATGTGCCAAGATAGAACTGCGAATAGATTTTATCTGGCCCTTCATGTACTAAGTTGGTAGATGTTCACTCATCCGTTGGTTAAGTTGCCTAGTAGTACGCCCTATATAGCTGTCTCCACAGGAGCAGCTGAATTTGTAAATGCACATAGAAGAGGCCAACTCAGGTAACTTATCCTTCGTTTGAGTAGACATCGCTGGTCGACAAGAGAAGGTCAACGCCAGATTGGCTGCGTAGAATGTCCTGGTGATTACTTTGGTTAATCTATATTTCAGAGTGTCACTAGCCACATTCCCGTTGAGTCCGTTCCCGTCTCCTATATATAGCTGAAGCCATTGGAATTCGTACATATAACCCCAATTTATGTGTACAGAAGAAATACGTGACCCCCCTATCCCTTCCATGGCCAGTTATAACTTAACTCACAATTCTTTTTATTTATTTATTTTATTTTATTATTATCATTATTCATTTTATTTTATTTGTGTTATCATTAACCTTATTTCCATATCCATTATCTGTTTGTAATTTTCCGCCTCTTTGTATTCTTCACTATCTAATTATTTACACACATCTTATTACGTAATGATTTTAATGTTTTGTGATTACTATTCCTAGTCTATTTACCCATGTTTATTTGACCTTCTATTTCCAACGATTAACTATTTACAAGAGTTTTGTTATGGTATTTTATTATTCTCACTATTATCAGTTCACCTGTCTTCCTACTATCAACTTGTACTTTTACCTATTATGTGTAGTGACTTATTCGATTTCATTGTGATTATTGACTCAAATAGCCTTGATTGGTTTAGAATTTTCGTATAAATATTCATGTATATTAGAGTAAAGCCTGATGACGATCTAATTGAAAACAATTGTTCGCTTATATGTGTTGTTCTAATTAGATTATAACTTTGTAGCTATGTTCCAGATTGTAAATTTAAGCTTTAAATCATATCCAGCTATGCGAACTGTTTTCCCTAATAAAATAGTTTGTTAATTAATGAATATCTCAGCACCAAGTACATAATCAGAATTTCATTTATAGAAGCTACAGCGCTTGAAAATATATGGTTTTAATTGTTCGATGAGCAATCGGTTCAGTATTATATGGTGATGATTATCAGATCCTGTTTTGGTGATTGAATGGTGTTCTTATTTTTCCAAAACTTGATAGTGCTGAATTCGATAATATATACATAGACATTTGAACGAACATCGATAACACGTCTTGACCAAAACGAAGCACTAGTTCATGAAATCACTGTCTACATATCTGACCTATTTTATTAGGTACATGTTGTGACTTTATGTTTGGCTTTTTATCACGTGATTTATCCATCAATCAAATACGACTTATACAATTTTAGCGCTGTGCCAAACCAATGACGTCCGACTGGTATGAGCAGCCTAGCGTCCTTATTGGTCCTATGTCCGCCTAGCCTGTCCACTCGAGTCCAGAACACCAATACCAGCTTCCACTATGCGAATCGACCAAGCAGACCGCAACGCACCATAATATAGGAAATAACATTTATACACAATAAAGCCAAAAAGTGGCTGTGAATATGGGAGGCAGTAGTTAATAAGCTGAGCATAATTTAGGGACAGTAAATCGTATAATAACAATTTATAAGTCAAAATGAAGCTTATAATAAGAGGAATATAAATACACATAATCTAATTATTGAATAATTATACCATAAGAATATATAGATAATTTTAGTCAATTAATGTCTCAGAAGTTACTCGTGATTTAATCTTCGCTTGGATATAACAGTACAGACGACCTAGTCGTGACCATAGGTTGGAGAATTTGCGTCAGTAACATTTGCGCAAGCGCATAAAATCTTTGTCTTATTGTGTACTTTTAACTCCACAAATACACTGTCCCTAATTTTTTTACCATTACCGATACCACAACTATTTCTTCTACTTCGATATTCATCTTGATAATTCCACTTCACCATGTCTGATTTGCGGTATTAATTTGATTGTTAGCATACATTTTCTATGTTTTGTCACTAGCATATGACAGAGGATTCTCAAATGATAACAGATTGACATCAGTCTAAATTAACTACTGATCAGCC